GAGTGCTTTAAAACAGGATTTAGTGTCAATTAAATAGGCCTGAATGTTTAAATCACTTGGGCACCCTCTGCATGTTGCTGATTCTCCAACATGCAGCAGTTGTGATTATGTTGCTCCTTCTGAATGATGCACTGCCTTGATTTTGTGTTGTGAAGAGTGTTATGTGTTCTGGGGAGGATATGGGAATGAACTAGTATTCAGAGCTAAGTATTTTAACTTCACAAAAAAAATAATTACAGGATAACCTGCAGTTAGCTGTTTAGTACACTTTATTACACCAGTGTGTATGTGCAAGGAACCAAGCACTAGCTCCAGAGGTCTTTGATGTGAGAATGCCTGCCTTCAGAAGTTTGGCTCTGTCATGGCTGATAAAGAAGGAGATACTCAAGTGACAGAAATTTCCATTAGCCTGGAGGAACAAGTGAGAAGGATGCACAGCAGCTACCCGCCCAGACATTTAAACAGAATTAAATAGCTCCCAATGTAAAGACGAGGCTTTGTCTTCTGGCTCCACTTCTAAAGAGACAGTAAAGAAGCATTTTTAAAATTCTGTTAGTATGCTGTGAAAAACCCACTTAGCAATATGACACCTGGAGATTTAGGGGTAAGTCTGACCTACTTCTCACTTCGAAATACCTTGGGTTAATGCTTGGACTAAATGACCTTTTCCAGACTAAATGATTCAATGATTCTATGCATTTATGAGATCAAAGTGTAACTACAAGCTGAAGATCTTTCCCTGTTTTAACTTGATTTGAGAAAGTACTGTTGGTATTAGCGAGGAAAAATAGGATTTTTGAAGAATTGCTTTATTTTGATTGAAATAGAATACAAGTAGAGAAATAGAATAACACTCAGCTAAAGAGAAATTGGATCCTGAAAGGCAGAAACCCTCACTTTTTATAAAGCTTTTTGTACTGAGACTCTCTTTGTGGTGTACTGTTTGAAGGCCATCAAACCACACAGCCTTTCTTCAAGATATGAATGAATGTTGCTTCCTCAGTGAGTGAAGGTGCTACTGAAGCCTGCACGATAGACCAAAGGCTTAGGGAAGAAATCATCCTTTCTGCCAGTCTTTGAGTGGTGGAGCACATGAAAAGCAGCACAGAAAATATTGCAGATAGGAGCCATGTTGCACATTTCAGCAGTATTAGGATTTCTGGGGAGGAGATACTTATGAATGCCAGAGATGACAGCATTGAGTTAGTATCTTTTCACTTTGTCTAAAGGAAATAGTAGGTTTTCCACAGCCATTGAAATCTTCTTTTCAGTATTTGCTTGCTGCTTCTTCTTAAAAAAGATTTGGTATGTTTTTATTCTTATCCAGGAATTAAAAGCTCAGGAGTTAAGACTTGCATTATTAGATTATCATTTGCAGGAAAAAAAAAATTAAACACTGTTAATGTTACCATCCTTTTTTGTAAAATTCAGGTGTCTTACATTGGCTATTAGATTTATCAAAAAACCTGTATTTTTCTATATTGCCACTGACATTGTCACCAATTTAAACAAGTAATTTAAGATTTGCTTCCACTTTTCTGTTTGGAAAGAGATGAGTTGTTCTCTTCTATACGGCCAAGGGAAAAATGAACACTTTATCCAAGGCAAAAAGGAGCATTTTATTGATGCTGTTTTATTGATGCTTACTTACTTTTCATTTCATTACTGTTTTCCATGTTAATAGTGTGTCACAGCCTACAGTGGTGAGAGAAGGGAAGGACACAAAATATTCTGTGCCACTGCTTGTCATTCATGTCTGTAATGGACATATTATTAGGTGTAGCAGGAGAGTTTAATGTGGGCATGAACAGACTTAGGAGTAGTGAAATTTCATAAAATAGGTGACCTTTGCTTCAAGTGTGAGCATTTCCTGGACACTTGAAGTAGTTCTGCTTAAACATCTAACATGCATTGATGAAATAAGAATACAATATTTCTATCTTTCTGTATTATCCATCAACTGTGAAATATTTAACTAAGTCCTGACTGGAAGAGAAGCACAGCAGCTTGATTTCAGAATGAGTTTGCTTACGTAATGAGACAAGCAGTATGTATGTACTCCATGTCATTTATGTAGTCAGCGTTTTGAAAGACAGCGACGTGGGTGGTACTACTTGCACTTGGACTCCCACAGAGTAGTTTTCTGCAGGTTTTACATTCTGTTTGTGTCTAAAAGACAATTTTTACTCAAAAGCTTTTTCAAATTACAGAGATTATACTGATTCAGTCTTTGTCTACAGTCTTGATTTTTGTTCATATTGATATTTACTGAACTCCAACTACCCTTTATGTTCAATGATGACTTCAATAATACAATAGCAAGTGGATTTTTGGACATATTTTGTAACTGACAGAAGACATAGGAAGGTATTCTCAATGACTTTTTAGGAATAAGACCATAAAATTTGAATTACCTTATTGTTTATAAGTTTATGAAATATAAAATACTGAAGCTGAGGTTGTATGTGTATGTACTGTAGGCATTAACTCTTTAGGAAAACTTCCACATGTAGATGTGGTTGAATGGCTTGGCAAAGAATCAACTATGAAAAAATATGGTTGTTTTAGAAATTGCAAAATAGCGATGAGATAATCAAAACATACACCAGAGAGGGCTACAGCTATCAAACACAGCTTTGAAATTTACCTCGTGTTTTTCAGGTTTCATTGATTGAATTTTTAATACAAATGTCAGTACAGACTGGTTAGGCCTAGTGACACACCTGAATATAGGGAGCTGAGCTAAAAAATATGCCTTTTGTAAGACCTCATCCAGACCAGTCTGGAAGAAAATGTAATGATTGGTGTGGCTCCCAAGAGCTAACAGCCCTAGGCAGCAAGAATTATGTTATTGTGAGAATCCTTTCTTGAGACAGGGTGTGTTTAGCTTTATGAAAATCTAAGTAGGATCCAAGATGCTTCTCTTCAGAGCAGGTGCAGTCCCACAATGAATGTAATATGACTTTCACTCACAGGCACAGCTGAGATTCAGAGACACACCTGCATTTCATGTAAAGTGGGCAAGTGATTTGCAAACATCTAATTTACTGATGAAATGAAGCTCTAGAAATGGCAATAGGCAAAAGGACAGCCCTGCATGAAACATAATTATAGAAGGATGTAGAAAATAATATCCAGCTGAATGAAGAACTGTAAACAAATGTGCAAGATTAATATGTGGATTTAAATTGCAATCACTGTTCAAATTTCCTATTCCATGTCAACTGCAGAGCAGGTAACAACAGGAACTGAGGACCAATAGTGTAGGCAGCATTTGTATCATGGTTTTGGATGTCACCACTGTTGAGTGTGTTTGTTTCCCATAGTTGGGTTTCACAGTGAGTAATGTGAAACTCACATAGGTAGTAGTAGAGTCTTATTTGATACTTATCCAGTAGTTTCCCATCAAAACACAGGGTTTAGCACAATGAAGTTTGTTCTTTACTCTGTATGTCAGGCTGTTTGTCAGCGAGGTATGTTAGTTGAATATAACTACCCAGCCTCCTGTGCTTCCAGTGTCTCTTTGGTTAAATCACGCCATGACTGACACCATGACACATTAGTGGGAGGATTGTTTATGAGAAAAAGGGAAACAAATTTGAGTTTACCAGGTTGTGGGAGCACAGATGCTCATCACTGCCAAATATGCAGAGCCGAGGTCAGGGAAATCTGTCAGGGAAAGCAAAGCAGCCTTGAAGCAATATTTTTTTTAACTGTCTGGCAGAGAAATACTGTTATAGCTGAGCAGGGTGCTGCCCTCCTTCCTCTAGTCTCTTAGGATTGCCTAGTTCCCTTTCCTCATTCCAGGCTCAAATGAGACATTGCAGAACATGCTCCTCTCCTTCATGTCTTCCCCTAGGGAGCTCAGCCCCTCTTTTTTGGGGGCTGGTGACAGCAACAGCAGCAGTGGGCAGGGCTCAGAGTAGATGTCCCCTTTGGATGCCCATTTTCTCTCCCTGGCATTGTTTTTGCTTGCTTCTCTACCAGACCAACACTTCAGCATTTCATTCTTCTGCATGAGAAGATGTAGCTGTAGAGCAGGCATGGTCAGCAAGAGAGTGCTGACACATCTTCATGGGAAAATTCTTAAGGGTAATTAAAAAAATACTGACATTCCTGTGTTGTGAGCATAGGAGATCCTGTGACAAAATTTGGGAAAAGAGGATTGTTTGGAGTCAGTTGGACTGTGTGGTTAGATAGTAAATTCTACAAGAGTAAAAGAGATGGAGGTATTTGGAGGGAAAAAGTCTTTCAGATATAGCAATTTCTGCAGTAAAAAGAAAATCATAGGAAGACAGAACATGCACAAAAGAAGAAACTATTTGAGACCTATGGGGAAAGAGAATGGGTTTGCAATAGGAGAATGCAGAAGATACTGGAGATGAAAAATAAGAAAAACACATTAAAGCAAAAAGCCTAACCAGAAAGTCCATTTCTAACAACCAGGAGACAGGAAGGGGAAAATTGGAATCACCTGTTCCCATCAAGCAGAAGAGAAAGTAAGCAGTGGGAAAGATGAAAGAAAATATAAATATATTTGTAGTAGATGGAAAGAATATGATGATGAAACATGATCCTGTATCTTCTTTTTGTCTTTGGCTGCCAAATCATGAAAGAGCTGTTTCCCATTGTGTCTGAATGATACTCCTGGGTCTTTCTGTTAAGAAGGATGGTCAAAGGAAGCTGTACTGTGTTTTGGTTGATTTAAACTATCATTTATCCTTTGTGAAATGCAAAATTGAATGGTAGGGATGTACCATCTGCTGTTGTTTAACATGTGAATAAAAGCTACTGTGTTGGCACAATGTTTACACTCATGATAAGAGCAGAAATAATGGAAGTGTTATGTTGGCTATACCCAGCAGGTCCCCTCATTGACTGAAGCATCATGTTTCTTCCGTGTCCCAGAAATGTTGAACATGACTCCTGGAGGAGGATGAGCATTTCCTCCTTAGTGAGGAGGCTGAGTGTTTTATGTCTGTTATTCTCATTCCTTTCAGGGATCTCTTGCTGTCTGTGGCACTTGGCCAGGTACTCTCCCTCCTTATCTGTGGCATTGGTCTCACAAGCAAGTATCTGTCAGAAGACTTCCATGCCAACACACCTGTTTTCCAGAGCTTCCTCAATTATATTCTTCTGTTCTTGGTCTACACAACAACACTAGCTGTCAGACAAGGTAAGTGTCTCTCTGAAACTGCTTTATAGAAAACAGTGAGGATAAAGGCTTTTGCAGAACAAAAACAAGCAATACAATTTAGACACATATCCCACTAACATTTGTTCCATATTTACATTACCTAGAAATACATATTGGATGAACTGAAAAAAATGCCAACAAATCTTCATTAGTAAAGAATGAATCATTAGATCTCAAGGACTGAGGTGCTCCCTAAAAGCTAAAATAAACATCAGTATTTTTGAATTCTGATTGTTCTTACCTTGCTGGGAAATACTAGTATGCTTTACATCTTATGTAGACTAAGGAGAGCTCAGATGCAAGCAAAGAAGAGCTTGCTAGTTCTAGTTGCTGATCATGGTAATTCAGTAGTTCACTTACTAGACAGATAGAAACAGCAGCCAAATTTTAGCTATTGGGAAGTAGGAGATGAAGGGAAGGATTTCAGGGTGCTGTCTCTCTGGGGGGGATGTTTGGGCAGAGCAGCTCTATGGCCCTATCACTGCTTTGTCACGGGGCCTGTGTAACCAATCTGACCTCCAAAATGAGAAATGCATTATAATATGCTCTGGTACTGTTTATCTAATGATCCTCTCTTTGACAGTCTATATATAATATAGGGGGGTTGTGCATTTCCTGCACATCCCTCCCTTCTTTGAGATTTCATTTCTAGATGAGGTGTGGGAAGTTAATGTATTTAAGTACATTTCTCAGCCACTCTTCTTTTTTGTAATAATTGTATTTATTCACCTTCAAAGAACACGTAGAGTAGAAGCTAAATAAAAGAGAAAAAAAATCGTGTGTTCTCCTGACATAAGGAGGGTAGGGCTCTGTGGAGGATAACAACTACAAAATGTATTAGCTGTGGTACATTTATCAGCAGACTGAAAAGCTCATGTTTTCTTACAGAAACAATGATTTTTGGATCATTCTTTGATGTTACATTTTCTAAGGTTTTGGGAACAACCCTGAAGCTTAAGTTCTTCACTCATAGTACAATCTTGTGATACAATGCTAAAAGGGTTCCAAAGCAGTGAGGACTTAATTTCTATGTAAAAATATAAAATATATATATATATTAAAAAAAAGTAAAAAATATACCTCTGTATTCCAGCACAAAGCACTTAAGCATATTGCAACATAAGTTTTATAAACATTGGTCCCCACTGACTTTTTTCAGAGGTGATAAAAGCTAATGTGCAAAGGAAATGTTGGCTCTTATATAAGGAGAGATTGCTCAGGCAGTGTTTCACGGTATTTCAGTTTGTGTAGGGGGAAAAATCACCACATACTTTGCTCTGCCAAAGGTTTAAAATGTGTTATTAGTAGCAGCTTTTTTGGAAAACTGTGTTTAAAAATAATTATTCTGAGTGTAGGATTACCTAGATGTTCCCAAGTTCTGTCCCAGAAATGTCCTTCTCTGGACTGAATTAGATATTGTGGAAGGCAAGTCCCTATATGGACTCTTAAATAGATTTTACTTTTTTGGCTTGTGAGAGGGTATACCCATATAGATATTGCATTCTGCTGTGCATTACAGAGGCTAATTTGGGATAATGTTTGATGCCTGGTGTATATTGACAATGCTATCAATCTATCAATGCTATCAAAAATGCTATCAAGCATTCTGCCTTACTCATATATAAATATGTATTAAAAGGGTATTTTATAAATAATTTTCTGAATCTGTTTAAAATATAGTGGTGGACTAAAGGGAGTTTGTCAGAAATATCTGTTGTGTCAATTAGATAGATTTGGGAACTAAGTGGTAAAGTGTTAGGAATATGTGGAAAATATTTTCTGGACAAGTGAAGAGGGCTGAGGAAAGTGTTTGAAAAAGTCTGTGGTTGATTACAAACCATATGAACAACTAGAGCGCATGAAAACGTACCAGTGGAATTGTCTGGAAAAAGAGCTGTCAAAAAACCCCCCAAAAGATGGCTTCATCCAAAAAAATCCATATTAAAATTGGCTACAGAAGCCATGTAAGCAGTGATCCAGGCATTCGGCATGACATTCCTGCTGGATGGCATAGCACTACACAGCCTATTTATTTACTCGCCATTTAATGTTGCCAGCTGACTGAGCTGACATTGTCTTTTTGCTTGTCTATTTATTCAAATCCATTATCTATGTTTGTTCCACTAAGGCAGTTTCTCTAGCAGCTCTAATCATGTGGCTTCGTTAACAGATGGAAATCACATAATAATATTAATAATGATTCTGAGTGCTGACATCATCAGAAAGCTTTTTTTTCCCCAAGTATAGTTCTTCTACACTATGCAAGACTGAATTTTTTTTAAATAATTTTTTTTCTCCTTCAGAAATCAAACCATCATAAATTGATTTGTAGTAAAAAAATAATTGCATTCCTTTGTCTTTTTCTTTCCTTGCTTTCTTAATCCTGGGGATTTTTGCAGAAATGTACTGTTTAAGAAGGTGTCACTTTAGCCAAAAAAGCCCTGAATTCACTGTAGGACCGAAAACTATAATTTCCTCAAGACATAAAGAATTCATCTTTCTTTAGAGACTTCTTCCAAAGTCTCTAAATGTCTTCCAGATTTTGATTTACTCTGGATGCCCTTTGACTTAGCTGTCCCTCACTGTTCTTATATACTCCCTGAGTGATAATGAAAAGGTAGAATTTGCACTGGTGTCTGAAAATCGTCATTAGCAGATGATTAAAGCTCCTGAGCTTTTCTCTTACTAAAGCCTTCTGCAGTGAATGCTCAGCTTCCAATAGTTAAAGTTAGCCCAGCATCTGCAGCAGCCACTACATTTTTGTATTCTAAGTTGAGATTGTTTTCCAAAATAACTTTACCGCAGCACTTGCTCTAATGGATACAAAGATTAGGACTGTCACCTTGCAATGAATCAACATATCAGATAGTGGAGAGGCAGAATCCTGCAGGTGTCAGAATCTCTGAGTGTTTATAACATCATTTCCATGTTGAAAAAAAAAATGACAAAAACAACAATAACAACAAAAGAAAACAAAAAAGCCAACCCAACCCCCCCAAAAAAAACAAAACAAAGCTAAACCCAAAGCCTCCAAAACAGACAAGCTTCAAGGATTAAAAGTAGACTCAATAGGACTTAATAGTTTTAAACTGTGAAGTCCATGTAAGTAATTGTTATTTCAACTTTGTTCTCATGGCCAGAAATAGAAAGTGACAAAAGTATTGAAGGAGATCTGTTCTTGTGAGATTTTCATATGAGCCTTAAAACATGGATACCACTCAGGCATAGATCATGAAAAAGCGAAAGAATTTGTCTAAACTTGGATTTTTCTGATGAAAAACATTTAACAGGTAACTGGGACATCCTCAGTTCCTTCTCTTGAGGGAGCTTCCTCTCATGCCTGTTGTTTTCACAGCCAAAACTTGTATTTTTCCATGCTAACACCTCTGAGAAAGTTTTAACACCTATTATCTCACCTCAGTCTCCCCGTTAGCAGAGGATTCTGCTTAACAAAATCTTGTAGGGATACTTCCCTATATCCTCTGGGTCTTGTGCCATTATTAGTTGAGGAAAAGAAAAACCTTGGCTATCAGTAAGAAAAGCCTCAGATGGGTGAAATGGAGCTATGGGACATAGAGCTGGTGGAGATTAGTTTTAGCACTTTAAAAAGCAGTAAGTGGGAAATTGTCCATAGTGGACCAGAAGGTGTTAATTGTTAAAGCCAACATGGGAGCAGCATCAGCAGCTTGCCACCAAAAATAAATTACTTCTAAAAGCCACGTCACATATGCTACAAATGAAAACAACACATCTACTAGACATCATTAAAAACAGAAAAAAATACGAAACTGCTATTTTTTTGTTATTCTGGAAAACAAGAAATGAGGGAGCAATGGAAATGTCTTCTGAACAGACGGGAGCCATAAAGCCTCGAGAGCCAGATTCTGCGTGAGTAGCGCTCCACATTGCAAGCTGTTCTTTGAATTTTAGTGCAACAAGTATTTTCAGCCCACCAGGTCTAAGGGATGGCAATAATTTGCAAGTTCAGAAACATTTTTTATGAATCTCTGTATGTCTGGATGAATTCTGCTTCTAGGCCAAGTGATGAGGTTATATCATCTGTCAATGGAAATAGAGTTTTCCCTACGGTAATGTCTTAGATTTGACATATAATTAAAGGTGATCTGTGCCCCTGAGTAAGCCAGAGAGTCCTGTGAGACTGGAAAGATTGCAGACCTGTTACTGACTTATCATTTTTTTAAGCATTTCTATCTCAGGGTGGTTTATGCCATTAAAATCTCAGCCATATGTAATTTCCTGATGTGCCTGCTATCCAAGTATGTATTTCCATTTAGATAATGGCAGCCCTTCCCAGCATCACTCCTACTTCACCAAAGTTGACCAAAACCAGCTAATTGAAGGAAAATAGAGCACGATATAGGAGTTGTTTTTTTTCACTGCAATGCTTGTCAGCTATTTATTGAATGACAGGGTAAATGTCTCTTTTTACTTAATTCCATTCCACTAGTAAAGGTATATGAATACAAAGCTAGTATTATGCACTTAACTTACGTAGACATAACAGAATTTCTTTTAAACTAGCTCTTTTTTTTTTTTTTTTGTCAATTGCCAGTAAGAACAATCTTGTTTGTCTGGGAAACAAACAAAGTGTATGATATAAGATGATCAAACTATATTAGAGATCATGTACTTTGGACAATATATGTTGTACCATTGAGACGAAATGTCTTCTGGAAAGGCATTGATCCTGTCAGAATATCCTCTTCACTGAGTATGACAGGGAGTGATTTTGATTAGAAAAAATCTATTTCATCATTGTTCAGTTTCCTAAGCATGCTTATGCCACTGCTGTAAAACGAAGAGCTTGGTTATCCCTCCAGACAAATAAAATGTTCAAAGCTGCAGCCAGGTAGCTTTATTGTCCTATCTAGCTGTGATAGAAGGGGTCCTTGGATTCTCAAGGCAACAACTCAGCCCACACACTGGCCTGCAAACACATTGCAAGAAGCTGTGACATT